AAGGATCAGATAAATCATGTAACGCTATTTCACTCCGAGGGAAATAGTTTTAGCATCTGTCATGTGCTAATGAATCGGGGAGGAGGAATAATGTTCTCTTTGTATTGGGTGTTCAAATTCAGCCGCGGTTACAGGATCTGGTATGATTATAGGACCACACCCTTCAAAACCACCATTAGGATTTAGTAGAATTATAACTTTTTTTTATTAATCATTTTCCTCAGGCTACCTTTACCATGTCTTTAAAAAAAAAAGAAAGAAAGAAAAATTCAATATAAGCTGTAATTTTCTTGATCAATGTTTTTGTCTTTGTTTCATTTTTTGTTTTCAGAAAATATTTAATTTCATTTTTCTTTTTATATCTTTTTCTTTTCCTTTTGAGATAAATGCTTAAGTGAATTTAAATGCTTATAAGCATAAACCTATTTGATATGATATTATTAACCTATTTAATAAGATTTAAGCCTAAAATATGGAAAAAATATAATTGTATATACAAAATGTGTTACAATATTGAGGTTTATTCTTAAAGCAAGCAAAACTACTTGCCAATGTGGTAGGAAAAATAAACATGAACAGTTTTGAAACAAGAACTAATGTCTTATGCAGTTTTGCCTGTCACATAATTTAATCTTGTTTTAAAAAGATTTCAATCTTTTTATAGAAAGCAAAATGCAAAAAAGACTAAATAATTGGAAAATTACAGTTTCAGAGGTGGGCTAAAACTGGAAGAAAAAAAAGAAGCTGAAAATATGGACATGTTGATGTATCTACAGTATGTTTAACATTTATTGTAATGTTAATAAAAGAAGAATAAATGTAGATTACTTAAGATGTATTAGATAAGCAAATATAACCCAGACAAGCCATAATCGTCCGTTGAGACAAACCACTGGGTATCTGCACCAACCTGTTCATGCTTTGATGATTTAGATTTGATTTGAATTTAAAATTGCAAAACTGTCTGGGACAAAAAGTCCTTTAACAGATCTGCTACCTGTATATATCAAATAGCAGGTAGTGTTCGAGGAAAGCTTAACTGCAGGAAATAATTTAGACTTATCCCTCAGTTTAAAAAACAAACAAACAAACTGAATCTATAGTAGTTTATGCTTACTCGCTTACTCAGTTTTTTCCTAGCTGGTGTAAGACTCTGTAAAGATTTATGTCTTTAATGTTTCAATGTTATTTTCAAATTTCAAACCATTATAGTTGGCCAATTCAGGTTTTGCATTGGTCTATTTTTAGTCAATGTTTATAATCGAGCATATTATACAACTCAGTCACCATCTTTTTTCTTCTGGCTATACATTTTTCCTTCTGTATGTTTGACTCGGTCTCCATGGAGGCCTCATGGTGGGCCTGCAGCCAGCGAAAGTGAGTCAGAATCGCCTCGACAATTAAAAAGGAAACGTTTATTCATAGTACAGTGGGAAAATGGGGAACCCCTGTATGAGACATTTCTGTTTTAAGATCGAGTCACGTGGCCACTCCACCCATATAGTAGAAGTGGAAAGTAGAAGTCACATTTACGTCAAAAGCAGTGAGTCAGTGTATTGTGGAGCTGAATGGAGGACGAGGAGGTAGATCTTGGGCTTTTAGTGATAAGGAGATGAATTGCACCAATATGTTTCAACCCAGTAAAATTTATTGATGCCCTGGAAGACTTATAGACTTACAGGAAGTCAATTTCATTGTCGTTCATTCAGGTAATCTGTATTTCAACATGCTGAAATAGAATGAAAATAAATGATTGTTGTCAAGTTAGAATATGGCAGGATATTTAGGGGGAAAAAATGAATATTGAGACATTAAACAGATTCCCCAACAATTTCCTTGATGCTTGCACAGACATACAAGCGTAAACTTTGTCCCGTTATAAACAATAAAATGGTCATAAAACACTCGACTGAAGATATGGATTTCCATATGTAACATTTGGTATTCTGTGCAAATATATTGAAACTTAGCAAATACAGATTGTAGTAATTGTTTTTGTTTGAGCTAAAGGAGATTTGATTTGACAGGCTCTAGTCCTTTATCATATTGATGAAGAGTTGTCAGACTGTGCGGTTTTACTATATGCTTTTTATGGCTTTACAAGTGCTTTGATGAATGCCTGCAGTCATTTTTCCTCTCAAAACCTCCAGCTGTTGCAGGTGACGGCTGTCATATGGTGCTTTTTGTAAAGCTTGTCAAGTTGCCGTTTTAGCAGTAAATATAGTGTTAGAGAGACCAAAATTTAGAGAATGCACTCATACACAAGACAATTTTTCCCCTGCCTGAGTGTGATAGTCCACAGCTTTTCATGAGGTTTTTGACTATTAATACATGGCTATCAGTTTTATTAACACTTATTCTGTGGGAAATATGTATCTGCTTTTGACTTCAATCTTTCAAATGGATGGTTTCGGCTCCAGTGGGGGTTTTTTTTATGTTGGGGAAACCCTGTTCGTGGTCAGCGCTTTCTCAGAGATGGCCACATGTGAAATATTTCCACGGCACTTTGCCATGGTAACATGGCAAAACATTCAGAGTGTTTTAGTTTGTGGGTTTCTTTTTCGTCACAAAAGAGGACAAAGATAGCTGTGATTCATAGAGGGGCTGGAGGCCGACCTGGTACATTCCTCTCCTCCTCTCTCTCTCTTTCTTTCTCTCCCTCCCTCAACTGGCTCTTTTTGTGCCTGAAATGTTTCCACTGGATCAAAGATGCCAAGCCAAACCCTTTTCCATTTTCTTTCTCTCACACACATAGGCTACAACTCTGCACACAAAGTACACACTTTTAATGAAAACTTACTGGAATTGCTTTTATAGTTTTTTTTCTGGGTTTAATAAAGACTCAAGTTTTTCAAATGCTTTTTTACTCAACGTATTGACTATAACACACTTTATTTTCCAGTTAGTTTTCTTAGCTCCCATCACTCAAATCTGGATTCATTCAAAGTTGACCATTTGCAGTGTAAACTTCGACCAGGTCGGTTCAGTCAACAAGGACATTGTGACCCGGAACAGAGGAGACGATAACACATGTTCTTCTATTGTCTACTTTAAACAGCCTCTGGTTGGTTTGGCTTCCTGTGGGTAGATCCTGGAGATGTTGGGAACTAAAACAGCAAAACAAATACAGTAGCAGAAAAAAAATTTTACGCCAAATTAAAAAAATAATAGAACAAATAACAAACGTTAGACCACATGAGGCTCTTAAACTTTTATTGTTTCCTCCAAATGTGGCTTGCTCCACTGTGAGTGTCGTTTTTAAAACTATCTGCTCGATATTATGTAACCAGAATAAGTATAGAACAAAAAAAGTACATTTAGGGAGCTGACAAGAACAAGCTGGTTTTTAATTACCAAATGTCCTAAACAGAAGAGGTTATGTGTTTACCATTGGCTTAGCACAAATATGCCCACCCGCTGTTTACACACCTTCGTTGTAACCCACCTACTGTCTGTGTCTATTAAAAGTTTAATGAGCAGATTTAGGCTAATTTTTCCACATAAACACTGTATTCCGCTAAGGGTCAATGCTTGGTTTTATTTCTGTAGCCTGAACAGCTAAAATACATGGATTTGTGAGCTTTTTTTCAGTTCTAGTTTCAGTGTTCCTCAGAAATAGTGATGAATGGCACCTCAAAGGCCTCTCTGCAAAAGCTCTTGCATATTTTCCCTGCAAAACATTTTTTTTTTTTTTATATATTTTTGAATTTCAGTAACCTGAAATTCAAAAACTGTTAAAACCTTGAAGTCAAAAACGATAAGTAGCCTAATGAATGACCTTGTTCATTTGTGAATAGTTATCGAGTGAGTAATAATGCATATTAGTCCTCGAGAGGCCTTTATCTAAGTCAGGGAGGATAACTTTCATACATTTAACGGTTTTTCATGTTCCCAGCCTCTTGAAGCTTTTTAGTGAAGGTATGTGGCTGTCAAGTGAAGAATGTGACCTAACAAAACCTCTGTTGTTGTGAATGGGAAGTTGGTTGAATTACTTTTCTCAGGAAGGGGTCCTGATGGAATGCTCCACTGAACAGAGAATATAAACTCCAGAAGTTAGTAGGTTTAGTCAGTTGGTTGAGTTTTTAGTTTGTAGTCTGAGTGTACTTCAGTTTGGAAGGAGTTTTGTGTGTGGGAAAGGTGCCTTAGGGACTGAAGTGTGGCACAGTTGTAATTGTTTCAAGCCCTGTTTGGCCATCAATCACATCACTAATTTTGGAGCAGCTATTTTACAGGCCTTGTGAAATCTGATCTGGGAATGCACAGAGAAGAACTCTAAACCTAAACACTTGTTTTGAGAGAGAACAGATACGAGTGTTGATAAATTGTACTCTCATTTTAGAATGTAAGACCTTATTATCCTTCTATGTTTTAAAGCTGTAAACCTGAACCTTACGTTGCCTTAATTCGTTTGATGCCATAACAAAACCACCAGTCATCTTTTATTTATTGAAGTGTTTACCGTTCTGTGTTTTTATTAGGGTTTGTATGGTTCCTTTCTGCAATTTCGAAATGAACAACACTGCAGTCACACACATATGGTTTAAATTCACTGTTGGAGGCTCTGTTTCAGAGAGAGGGTTCTTAAGATTATTGTTTACAGATTTTAAAAGGTCCTTGGTTTTGGTATGAAATCCCAGGCAAAATTGTGGGCAGTCTGCTGTTCATTTGCTCTGAACTGATTATTCCAGCTTTCCTACTTGGCAAACATATTCAGTCAAGCTTATGGATCCAAATCAGATGCATATTTTACAGTCTTAGATCAGTTCTGACAGCCGAAAAGATCTGATCCGCTCCTGAGGTGCTTTACTCCGGCCATGGTGCCACGCTAGTGTAGTTGCTCACAATTTTTTGATACAGGAGACTTTCCACTCAAACCACAACGTGCATGAATGAATATAATAATCTGACTATTCAGAATCTAATTGAGATAATTGTATTCCTCTGTGTGCCGAGAGGAAACAAAACGCTCTAATGCCTTCTTTGTGTTTTTATAACTGTAGGAATAGTAAGAAAGAGGCAGATCTGGAATCGGCTCTGGCCAGACTGAAGGATCTGGAAGCTCTGCTGAACTCAAAGGACGCGTCTCTCTCCACAGCACTGGGGGAGAAGAGATCACTGGATGTCGAAGTCAGAGATCTGAAAGCCCAGCTGGCCAAGGTGACGACTCTATAAAAAGCTGTATGTCTAAGTGTTTGGGAGCTGTGGTTAAAGTTCTGGGTTAGTGACCAAAAGGTTGCAGTTTGTGCCATTATTATGTACATGTGCAGGGTACTTTAGGTTGCTCCGAAGTGACTACTTGCTTGCTTAAGCCAGGGAATATGATTTAGCACTATTTTTGCCAATAATATACTGGGAATATGATAGAGCTAAATCATATTCCCATAGGCTATATATATAGGCATGAATTATTATTCTTTTAATCTTTATGAATTAGTTCAGCTTTCTAAGGAAAAAATGGCAAAATTAAATTACTAATTTTCTCAAAACAAATCTTCTACAGTTTGCTGAAGTACATTTATCTGGTTTAGATCAGTGGTTCTTGACCAGGGAACCCCAGTAGCTACTAAAATGTAGTTACATTAATATTATATTAATATAAAAATAATAAAAAACACAAAAAATAAATATGTAAAACATTAAACTCGTATTAATGTTTATTTTTATTTATTAATTATAAACTCATGTGTTTTTTTAAATTATTACAATATAAATATCAGAAGTGCATATCAGCTTAGATAGGAGGGTTTTCTAGTATTGTCTACAAAGAGGAGACTAGGAGTCAAAAATGTTAAGAGCCACAAGATTAGATGTTTGTTAGACGTTTAGATATATTTATAAGAAAACAAAACTTCTAATAGGGTTTTAATAAGTGTTTTGCATAGTATGTTGCTTTTAACTTTGAATTTATATAGAAGTTATTGAAGTGAATATGTGTGTTGCAGCTGGAGGGCAGTCTGAATGATGCTAAGAAGCAGCTACAGGATGAAATGCTACGACGTGTGGACGCTGAGAACCGAATCCAGACCCTGAAAGAGGAGCTGGAATTCCAGAAAAACATCTACAATGAGGTCTCACAAACACATCTATTTATGCTGAGCTCTCCTATGCATATAAAGTAAAAAAAAAAAACTCATACATGAAGACTGAAACAAAGACAGGCAGGACTTTCTCCGTTACTCTAATCTATTGTCTTTTTTCCAGGAGCTCCGTGAATCTAAGCGTAGGCATGAGTCACGTGTGGTGGAAATCGACAGCGGCCGTCATTCGGATTATGAGAGTAAACTGGCCGAGGCTTTGACTGAACTTCGCAACCAACACGAAGAGCAGCTTCGCATCTACAAGGATGAAATTGAAAAGACCTACAACTCCAAGGTAATACAACAAGCTGTCAAATGTGGTGGATTTACAAATGTCTTTGAGGATCCACATCTCTGTATCTCCCCAGGGGCGCCTGGTTAAACCGGGCCCGCCCTGTATACATATTTGCTGACTGATCTGTTGCCAGTCGTATTTGTTAAAAAAATTAATATATAAAGACATACAGCATATCTGTCAGTTAAATGTCATCCTGTGTTATCTGTGTGTAGCTGGAGAATGCCCGTCAGTCGGCTGACAGGAACAGCCATTTGGTGGGAGCCGCCCATGAGGAACTGCAGCAGACACGTTTGAGGCTGGAGGGTGTGACCTCTCAGCTCACTCAGCTACAGAAACAGGTACACACACATACATACAAGTATTTATTGCAGTGCTGGCAAGGCAGCAACGTGTTGAAATTCCTCAAACCTGTACATGTGTACCACAATGCTCCTACAATAGAATAACTTGCAATAGAACTCTCCGCAAATCACTTTTTTTAACTCCACCCTCAGAAACTATGTTGGTAAAACATAACTAGAAATTCATCCACTTAGTCACAAGGAAAACTTCACAGATCTATTATTTTCTAGTGTACTGGAATATTCCTACAAACGTATTATTTTTAAGGATTTTATCATAAAGAAAGAACACAATTTGAATTTAAGTTTGAAAATCAGACCCATAGAATTTCTTTACATTATTTAAATTGCACGATCGTGCTCTCTTCATTAGTTGTCTGCTCGTGAGGCGAAGATCCGTGAATTGGAGGAGGCTCTATCCAGAGACAGGGACATGATGCGCCGTCGTATGGAGGACAAGGAGAAAGAGATGGCCGAAATGAGGCATCGCATGCAGCAACAGTTGGACGAGTACCAGGAGCTGCTGGACATTAAGCTCGCACTCGACATGGAGATCAGTGCCTACCGGAAGCTTCTGGAGGGCGAGGAAGAGAGGTGAGCAATGGGATATTGCTTGTTGCACACATGCAAATGTTGCTACTAGTAAATAATAGAGCTGTCAATTGCTTTAAAATTTGTAATCAAATTAATTGCATGATATTTTGATCAAATTAACTGCAACAGTATTTGCTGAATAAGTATTGAAAAGTTGATTAAATTACATTTTTAATATTTAGTTTATAATATTTAATTTAATTTAAATATTTATTTTATTTTTTATTAAAAATAGATTACATTTTTGCTGGTTTGATTTTTTTCAGATGCTTTTCAAATTAAAGTTAGATAAGAAATATTAGTTAAAATATTTATTTAAAAATTATTAATGTTATCATTTTTTGTTAATGTTTTTATTACATTTAGAAAAAAACAAATTTGAGATAAATTAATATCAATAAAACATACACATAAAGACAGTTTTTAGTTTAGTTAATTTTTAATACAGCGTTAATGATTCTGATTAATTCTTTTATACAATTTCTAACTAAAAGACAAAAAAGTGTATTAATAAAACTATTTGAAATTTGAATCATTTTAAATCTAAGAGCAAAAGCATGAATGATATTCTGATTAATTAATTGCATATATCAATATTTGCTAAGTAAAGCCCTCAAATGAAGATGATTATACTAATTACAATAGGACTTGTGGTGAATATCAGCCTCATGCATTTACTCAAAAACCGTCCTCACATCCTTTGTCCCGCTATCCCTGTTTAGGCTGCGTCTCTCCCCGAGTCCTCCTCCTGTCCGTGGGGTGACTGTAACCCGCTCCTCGGGATCGGGAACTCATTCACGTGTGGTCCAGAGCAGCACCAGTCGTACCTCTTCAGGCAGCGCTAAAAAACGGCGCTTGAACGATAATGACAGCGATGCCTCCAGCGTGGTCGGTGGAACTGTTACTCGCACACGAGTCGCCCAGCAGGCCTCTGCCAGCGGTCGCGTGACCGTGGACGAAGTGGACATGGAGGGCAAATATGTACGGCTCAGTAACAAGTCTGACCAGGTGAGAAGAAAAAGGAGCTTTGGCCACCAATAAAAAGGAATGAATTATTATTTACTTTTTATTAAATTAATCTTCTTCCTCCAGGATCAAACTATGGGTAACTGGCAGGTGAAGAGGCAGATTGGTTCCGGCACTTCCATCGTCTACAAGTTCCCACCAAAATTTATTCTGAAGGCAGGACAGACTGTCACAGTATGTATCGATTTACCACATTATAGTCACCTTTAGTTGCTTTTGAATTCCTGACTTACTTCAGTGTCTCTCTGCTGTCAGATTTGGGCCTCTGGAGCTGGAGGAATCCACAACCCTCCTTCTGACCTGGTGTGGAAGACCCAGAACTCTTGGGGCAGTGGAGATCTGTTCCAGACCACCCTCATCAGCTCCACTGGGGAGGTGGGATCATGTTAAATCAAACCATGCAGCCAGCTTTGTTTGAATAAGGTTTTATTTGATTCAAGGTAGCCAAGTGACTCATTCACTTCCCTTTTTTCTTTATTTATTTGTGTTTCTCCAGGAAATGGCCATGAGGAAGGTCACACGCACTCTATTCCAGGATGAGGATGATGATGATATGGTACGTAATCACTAGCATGTCTCAAAAAGTTAATGTAGTAATCTATTTTTTTTATATATATATTTTGAGTTTTGCCAGGTTCAATTAAAAACATGAAAGTGCACAACACCAAGACCAAATGTAGCTCGATTGATGTGAATAAGTCTGGCTTCACAAAGTAAGACTAACGTTTTAACATGACTTTTTGATGAATTATTGCTTTAGGTCGACCGAAATTGAACACATTTTCTGCACAGTATAAAGTGTATAATGTGTTACATAACCACTTTGAACATCATCTTGTTTCTTTACACAGTATACTTTTGTTAATGGCTGTTTGTTGGGTTTGTTTGGGTGTAGCCTTCTCACGGTGAATCATAGCGCTAAAATGAACTGAGAGCAGGCAGAATTCATCTCTATAATAAGATCCATATCCGTTCTCAGTCTCAGTTGCTCTCTGTTTACTGTCTCCCCCTGCAGGCCGCCCACAGCACATGCGGGGATGGTGAGTATAACCTCCGCAGCCGTACGGTGGTGTGTGGCTCATGCGGGCTGCCGTCAGATAAAAACAACAGCTGTGTGTCGGCCAGCTCTGGAGTGTCGAGTGCATCTCGCTCGTTTAGCAGCGGAGGGGGGCTGCCTGAAGCATTTGTCTCTCCCTCACACTTTATTGTGAGCAATGACAAACGCAGACAGGTTTGTATTTTTTTTATTTACAGTAGATGAGTTGCACCAGTATTTATTTATTTTTTAAATTTCTGTCTCTTTCTGTCACTTTATTTTGAACTTTCAAATATTTTGTGTTAGATGACATAATCTGGTGTGTGTAAAAAAAAGAAGAAGAGTTTGTTATTGCGTTTAGTCTTAGATTAAAAAATGATAAAGATTTTTTGTATATTATAATTTTATTTTAACTGTTTTTAAACAAATATTTACAACATAACCTTAAGAGTAAAATAATTAATTAAAAAAAACATATCCATGTAACATTTTTTGTCTTAATTAAAAAAATTTTTTTTTTAATGAATCGGATTTTTGTTACTAAAAAAAGAACATTAAAACTTTTTAAATCAATGAACAATGAATCAGTGTTATTTTAAGTTAATTAAATAATAATAATAATAATTATAATAATAAAAATGATTTTGTTTGTAACTAAGACCTAAAACAACAATAGCATCTGAAAAACTTAGTAGCAAAGTTTTAATGTATTTTAATGTTTTTAAAAATCTAATTTTACGATTAAAAAGATGAACAAAAAATCCGAAAAAATTAAGTTGCCAAAAATTGCTTTAATCGATTTGATTGATTCTTTGCTACTTTGATATTATCTAGATTTTTTTGTTAACATTAAATTATGATTTAATGTTTTGTGAGGAATTTATTATCAGTAAAACAGAAGCATTGTAATAAGCAAAGGTTTGCAGAAGTCTTATTAAATTTACATTCATTTCCCTCTCTCTCTTTCTCTCTCTCTTAGGCTGGACCCAAACTAGACAACTGCTCCATTATGTAGGCAAGCTGTAGACAGCCCTGACCATCTGTCCTTTCACACAAACCAGGAGGAATTCATCCAACAATTAGTTTCTTTTTGGATTATGTCTTATTATTACATGATATATTTTGTACTTCAGTTTTTGTTTTGTATTTCATAATCTGCGGGGTAGATTTTTGGCTTTTGTATGGCATAAGGCTTCATACGCTGGCAGCTTGTAGGCTGTAGTTTGCGATTATTATGTACAGTGTTACTCTAATATATTTGCATGGTGGCCTGGCAGCAGCTTCAAAATAATCGTACTGTACTCAGGGAGAGAGGCGAACGGAGCACTTCACACTCACACCATGAGCTCTCAACGGGAATGCTGTCGGAATGCAACACGCACAGTTATTACACCTTCTCCAAGACTAAACTCTCATTTTAGCGCAGACTGGCTATCTAGCTTATATATGAGGACAAACAGTGAGCGTCAGTTAATGTAAGACCGGAAATGAGGGCTCATTCGTTATTGTCCCAAACTTCGTCAGTAAGTAATTTGTCAGTAGGTTTTATGTTTTTTTTCGTGCTACCTCTTGCAGTTATGTGATCGAAATTATGTGCATCTACAAAAGGGAAAGGAAAGTGAGTAATTCTATGCAGTTTTGTTACAATAGAAATACAGATCTTCTGGATGTAAAACTGCTTCGTGCCTTGATACAATTGCACAGTTGAATAGGTACTTTGTGTCATTTGGCAGTGCGTGTACAAGCTCTGACTAGACAGCAGTATGTCGTGTCTTGCGTAATAAGTGTTATAGGATGTTTCTGAAAGACTTGAAGCAACTATAAAACTAATCCAAAGAAAAGCTCCTTAGCAGTTTGCAATTGCCAAGACGTTGTCAACATGTTAAACAAAAGCTTACTAATTGTTTTAGAAGGAAAACTTTTGAAGTTTACTTGCAGAGAAAGACATATCTGATGTATTATGTTACCGGAGAATCATGTTGTGTTTAAAGTACTGAGTACTAAACTATTGCCGGTTTAAAGAGATGTATTTTTGTTTCAAAGCTTAGAGGCAGAATAATTAAATATGCAAAGTGACCACCGTCATTCCCAGCTTTAATGCTCTGTTATTTTTATGTTTTTTTATGACACTTGAAATGTTTGAGTTTTATTATAAACTCAAATTTACATGTACACTAAAACATCTGTATTTCTCTATGGGACTGAGTGTTGATTTGCTCTTGTCACTCCTCTCTTGCAGTAGATGATCCAGTTCCTCATCTGGACCGCTGTAAGGCTCCAGTAATCTGAGCAGTCTGTCCTTCCCTTCAGTGCACACATGTCCAGTCCGTTTAGGGCAATTTGAGAACCAAATTCAAGACTTAAAACAAAAAAATTTGTTTCAGAAAGTTGGAACAGCTTTCATCATAGGAAATTAAGAACATAACCGAGCCTCCCACAGCTCTCCAGACAGAGGAATGGATATTGCTGACATTATTGCTTTGCAAAGCTTTGGGTTTCTAAAGGTGAATTTTGGGATAGTGTATCTATTTTTTCTATATATACTTAAGAATTGTGGTTTTGTATTTCCACTTAAATAGCCATTGACATTATTGTAATAAGCCATGTATTTTCGTTTTTTGAAACTGATAATGGATTTCAGTTGTTTATTTGTTGGCATCTTTGGCAAAGTTGCCTTATGCAAAGAAAGACTTACTGATAACCAAATCTAGAGTGATAAACGAATCATGTTTCACTTTATTTTGAAATGTTGTTTTTAGTTAGATGGCTAATTTCGTGAAGGCTTTGTATAAAAAAAAAATCAAACAGACTGCAGGGCAATGCAGGGATTTTTTTTTTTGTCTTTATAATTATCATTTACTGTTTTGTGAGAAATTTCAGAATTGTTGTGAAACCTTGTTATAAACTGCCTTTAAATTTTTTTCCAGTTGTAACAAATAAAACCTTTCTGACTTTTTCATTTGCTCTCTGTGTGTGTGAGTGGTATTGCGTGTGCGAACATTTGACTATTTACTGTTGATGTTTTATTGAAACTCTATTTATTTTTATATAATTTAGGCTATTTTATTTTAAAGTCTTGTTTTAGTACCATCAAAGTTAAAAATGGAGAGAGTTTCAATAAGAAGCCCGATTTTAGATATTGATTGATGAAAGGTTACATGTTTAGGCCTTTATCTACCGATTACAATTTATTAGGAATTACGATTTATGAATTACAAAACACGCATACATCACGTTTCACAACGTGCTGACGTTTACCTCAAGCGTGAGCTCACGAACGCGCGGTTGACAGTTACCCGGAAGCGATGGTTTATTGTGTAAGAAGTTTAACATATTACTAGCGTTTTTTTTTCTCACAGACACTTTATAGTTTCGCTTCAGAAAACATTGATTCATCAGCTGCAGCCGTATGGATAAGAGTTGTGTTCGTGTTTTTTAAGCGTCAACTTGGGGGACCCTTCTATGTACAATAAATGAGTCCGAAATAAACTGATGGATTATTTTCTACAAGTCTCATCTGGGTCCCCATTAGGGTGAGCAACTTAAATTACAAAATTAGCATTTTTGGTTGGAGTATCACTTAAATCACAGACAACGAGATTCATGACAAGTTGTGCTTGAAAACTTTGATTTTATTTACACTATTTACAATTGTTATTGGTTGAACTCAACTGACATTCATAGTAAAATGTTCCGAATGTTGGATCTTACAAACACGAAAACTTGTTCTGTAGCTGTTAAAAATGATATTATTTACACCCTGATTACCAGATTAGATAAGAAACATGAATAGCATTTAAAACAGAAAAATATGTAGCATTTAACCCATTAATGCCCAGATCAGATTTTCTTTACTTGCACATCTTTTATATGAGCATATGTGCCATTCTTTTGCAGTTTTTCCACATAAGATTTAATACAGCAATTTGTGATAGGTGAAAAGATTTTTGTAGTGAAGCTCCAACAAGTCATCACATGACATCCAGCAAGTGTCGAAATCTCTTTCTAAGGCTGTCTTTTTGTATGCCAGTAGTTAAGCCACCCAAAAATATTGTCGGAAGAAAATGAGAAATAAAGTCCTTGGCAACATCCACAGGCTTGAATGGGTTAAATGCCTGTAAATGTGATCTTTTTCTCCATGAACGTTCAGTGGTTGTTAGTGTTGTCCAGCAGATGGCAGTATTGCGCAGTTTTGGTGGCATCCATCCATTCATCTGTGGTGGGCAGTATTTCACGATCCAGTTTGTAAAGCTGACTCTTGTGTTTGGCAGTGAGTTTTGCGAAGAACCAAAGTCTGTAAGGAGATCAGTGGGGCAGTCTTCGTGGCGATGGAGAGGGTGGTCTCCGCACTGGGGGCAGATCATAATGCCCAGGAATGTGGCTGTTGATGGGCAGATCATAGTGATTCTGAGGTTCCTGTTCCACAACGTTGCCAAGGGAACAGTGTTCTGAAATACAGTGAACAAACATATTTTAAATGCTGTACCAGACAATACTCCAAAGCCATCATGTTGTCATGTACCCTTATGGCAAAAAAAAACAAAAAACTTTAAAATCATCTATTTCATATTAACATATTTTGGTCATTTTTTAATATATTGTTAATCTAAATATATTTGTATTGTCAAAAATATAAATTAAAAATGCATTTTGCATCTGGCCCTCTGAAGTAAATTTTGTAATGTATTTTGGCATTTGAAAGTAAAAAAATATATATATACTACATTTAAAAAATATATTTCCCAAAGCTGTTGTTTACAGCATATATATTTAATATTAATATTAAATATATTATTATTAATTAATATTTTAATATCTATCTATCTATCTATCTATATATTAGACTTGTGCAGGTATTCGGTAATGCGATATATCACGGTAATGAATATGCACGATATTGTTATCCTGGGCACTTCTAAATATAAAAATGTATAATTACTAATTGTAGACATTTTAGTTACTAAAATATAATTTTTTTGTCAACATTCTCACATCACAGAGCAATACCCAATTTATTTTAATATAACTACCTCTGCATGACAGAGTGGAGGGAGTCATAAGCGGTGGGCTGATTTCAGTGTAGGATCTTTCACGAGGCACTGCAGACTTCATCTCCATGTAGCTGCTCTCCGGAGGACAAGGTGGCAGGCCAGGCAGATCTTTGATGGTGGCATATGGGTTCTCACTGTTGAGAGAGCTGCTGCTCACTGCCACACATGAATCCTTCAACTCTGCAACCACATGTTAGACACAACACAGATATATAGAAGAACATGTAGAAGAAGAATATCTGGGGGACTTTTACCTTTGTTGTAGTGCTTTCCAAGAGTAGCACTATAGCTGTAACTTCGATCGATGCCAAAAGCCCCTGCAAACACAATAAGACCTTATTCAATTTACTTGGACAGAACAAACTAAAAATATAGTGCAGTCAAACGGTGAAACTGTTTCCCAGTATCTATTACCTGGATCTTTAGGTGGCTCCTGGTGTTTCCAGCCTGGAGGAAGAGTTGCATTAGTGTCAGCCACAAACAGACCTCTCCTCTCTCTCTCCATGTTCTTCAGACTGCAGAACAGCTGGTTGTTGGTGTTCTGTCAAACCGTGAGACATAAAGGAAAGTTGTGTTTGTTATATGTGCAAAATTCTGCTTTTGTAATCAATACTGCACAGCCCACTACTGCTGACAGTGATAACTGATTAGAGGGTTATGCATAAATAATTGTATAAATTAAGAAATAACCAAATCTTATGGAAGTCAACTTCTATAGAAGTGCATTTCCACCACACAAGAAAAACATGCTTTGGTAAATCACAGTTATGACAAATTCATAATTATAGTATTAAAAAGTAGAAATTATGACATACCAAGTCTTAAAAAGAGATATATTATGAATTATGAGATTTTTTTATGAGAAGTCAATAATGACATTAAAAGTAAATACAAATATTTGGTTATCCTTTATTTTAAGGTGTCATTGTTACAGTGTAATCATACATTTACTGTAATGTACTGTACATGTACTTACTATATGGTTAGGGTTTGTCTTAGGGTAACTTGCATGTAATTATGCATAATAATAATTATTATAATAGTATGTACATGTAACCAGTGTTGGGAAGGTTACTTTGGAAATGTAATAGGTTACAGATTACAAGTTACCCTATTTAAAATGTAATAGTAGTGTAACTTTTTCAATTACTTTATTAAAGTAATGTAACTGATTACTTTTTGATTACTTTTCTAAATTTCTAATG